ACCTGTTGGCCATATGTGCATTGGGCTCACCTCTGGACTACTCTGATAACAGCATTCAGAGTTTCCAAATTTGGGCCTTATAAGGGCAGTGAGTTGCCTTAAACCCCAGTGCATGGGGTTTTAAAGAGGCTGCTGTTGTATGCATTGCACTGTGAAATATTCCAGCACGTCCCTTGAGTGCCAAGCGTTTCAGCAAGGCTTTAAATATCTGTAAGGGAATTTTTTTGAGTATGGTTGTTCTTTATGAGGAAACACCTGTTATCCACATTTTATGGGTAGGGTGGTGAGCTCAGGAATGATGCTGTTTGCAGAGAGTTGGGGAATAAAGGGTCTAACTTGATTCCTGCAAGCCTTAATCGTGTACCATAACTCCTGTTCAACCTTCCTTGGGGTGGAAGGACACAGATGATCCTTAAGGACAGGTTGCAGAGTGGTGAATAACTATGTAGCAAAACAAAAAAGTACCCAGAGGAAGAATGTGACCACTTCCATGTAGTGTTGTAGACTGCTGCTTTTAATGTTTTCCATAGATCTTTTCAGTGGAGCCCTGACTTTGGTGCAATGGGCCAGACTCGTGGCTCTGTCCCTCCTTTGAGGGAAGCTGGGGATGTCAGACATGGGATAAATCACAGGAGAGCTGCAGGAGCCTGTGCTCTGAGCTGCTCCTCAGGGCTGGAGAAAACTTTCAAGTTAATTCCCTGATGCTAAAACTGGGCTTTATGCTGGAGAAATCCAAATTTGGTGGCAATCTGGGTAGAAACTGAGGCTGAGAGGTGTATGCAGGGTGGGCTGCACTGCCAGGGGCACTCATCTGGAGCAGGGGATGTCGGTGAGGTGTCCTTGCATCTGGCACACAGCAGTGCTCTTGTGTGCTCTGGAAGGTGTCAGCAGGCACATCCCTTTCTGGTTTCTTGAGACTTGTCTCCCACCCAATAATTTTTCAAGCTGAATCAGTAAAATGGTTGATTCTCAGCCCTGAGCTTTTCTGCACTCAGTGATTATTTGCCGGTTGTGACAGCTCTGTAGAGTTTTGTCCTGGCCAGTAGTCCCAGCAGATGCATTGTGTTGACTTCCTGAATCCAATTTGTAACAATAATGTTTTTCTCATACTGTGTTTCTGGAACCAATTTGCCTGCTTTGCCTTCCCCATCTCCTTCTCCCGGGACACCCCGGCGAGAGCTCTGCCCTGCACACTTCAGTCGCCTTCTGTTTGCCTCCTTCCACTGCCTGAATTCCCGTGTTTTGGGGGTGAATTTATGGGAGATGACTGTAGACACACTAAAAGTCATTTATGAGATAGACCAGTGAGAATCTTGGGTAGTTTTTCTACATGAGACTCTCCTGCAAAAAAAAACTAAAGCCCAAATGTAAAATTTCCTAAGCTGCTTGATTTATTTGATTCATTTCCTCTGTCTATTCATTTTCAAAGCCATTTAGGAAGATCATTTGCACAAACATTTAAGTTCTCTTTAACTAAAGTCAACCAATGTGTTTTTTCAATGAGCTGGAGCTCATAAGGAAGTTTCAAACATTAGCTGTGTAAAGAAGGCAATTAGTGTTTGTACAATATATTGAAAATTAGCCCGAGGCACACTGGAAAAATACATGTTTTGCACATGTATACTTTTCAACCAATTCCATAGTTTGTGCTAGATCCTCACAGAGATCATTCCAGAAGCTACCAAATTAATTCAAACTGAAAGAGGTTGCAATTGTCTATAAAAAGAGGGGATTTAAGTGTAATGTGGTTGGTTTTGTTCTGTATATTTGATCGCATGAAGGAAAAGCCTTTTCTCCTGCTGTAGTATGTCAAGGAAGTTTATCTGCATGTAAACAGCAAACTGAAATCTCTCTTGTGTTGTAAGGGTTGAAGTTTTCTAGTTTAGAAGTTGAGCATTTCTAAAAATGTACTAATGATGTCATACTGATAACAGGAGATACTCCTCTCACTTCGTCATGGAGTGATACTGTTACATGGAGTGATAGATTTTAAAGCTGTCATAATCATAGGAATTAGTGGAGAAGTTTTATTTTAATAACTGTTGGGGGTGCAGCTGTCATGTTATCTGCATTAAAGATTGTGCACCCATTATCAGGAGTGTTTTGCCCACAGTTTGGTAGGAATTTGGGTCAAGAGAAGGACCCTTCCTGAAGGGGAAGGAACAGGCATTGTTGATTCAACCATGGAGGGAGTACCAGTTAAAAACTTTGGAGTATTTTCTGAAAATAGGAGTACACCTATAGCTATTAAGGAAAATACTATTTTTTCTTGTTGTAATAATGTAGTGGTTAATTCTAATAGGACAGATCACAAAACAAAAGAAATGGCTTGTGAGGCTCTGGTGCTGTAATGGACACAAATGTATTTTCTGCAGTTGATTATGTTAAAGTATTTGTTGTTTATATGAATTATTGTGGTGTATATAGAGCAGAAACTTTCAGGAAGACAAACTAAGACTTTTGTTTGTTTCTGCAAGAGAATTCACAGGAGTGAAAGTCCATATGGAGTCTTGGATGCAGGAGTACAGCAACTCGCCTTCACTTGTAGAAGAGAGCATATGGTTTTGGTAATAGGTTAATAAGAGCAATTAACCTTATAGTGCACTCATTTGTTGGTCTCAGTTGTTTATAAACTAGGTAATAAAGATATTTTAACATCCTATAGTTTTATAGGAGATTAAGTGAAATCAGGCTGTATTTTTTAAGTTTCAATGCCAACAGTACTCAGGCGATACTGTGATGGAAACATAAAATTAGCAGAGTAGAAGATTCAGAGTACTCCGTGGTGTGTCCAACCAATGGGTATCATCACAAATGTTGAAATTAGAGAAATACAAGCATATGTTAAAGGCTTTCATTAGCAGAGGAACTGTTTTCCTGTGATGCAGTCACAGATCTGTCACTCACTTGTTCTTGTCACCTTGCAAAGACTCTAATGTGAACTGTTTCCAGCCTTTATTTATGTAGAAAAGAATTCTAAACTTACCTTCTTCTTCTTGAGGATGAGCCTCCTAGAAGAACAGGCTAAACAAGCACTGTCATTGCTTTATTTTGTTTGTTTTGAAGGACTTCCTGCAGAAGTCCCAGTTTCTCTGCTGGGAGCTGCTGTGTTTGCCTGGCAAACAGAATCAGTGGGTACAGATGAGCAGGTTGCTGTTGACCCCACAAACTGCACCCACAAGAAAAGCCATTTTTACTTCATTCTCTGTTGGCTCCTCACACTTCAGCTTGTGTCATTTGTTGTCCAGCTGGGCCTCTTGCTGCAAAGACAAGTGACACCAAGGGCTGTGTGATTTTCTTTTACAAGTACTTTGGGTTCTAGGCTGGTGATGATGGGAGAAGGGATGGTTTCACCATAATAATAGTTTTTAATTTAATTCTGTAACTTGTATCAGTCAGCTTTTAGCCTCCTGCTTTTGTGAAATACCCATTTTGCAAATTCTGCCTACTTATTTGGCTACTATATTATTATTCCAAAAGAAGCCTCTAAATCAACTTATCTGTAGAATTTAACTCAAGCACATAAAGGATGATATATTGGGTTATTGATTTTCTCTGTCCTTTCTGATTTACTGCTAATTGTCTGATTTTTACCTTATATTTTGGTAATAAGCTCTTTTAATATATTTAGCTGATGATAACCCTAATGAGCTGTGATTCTTTTTCTTTATTCTGAATTTGAACATCAAGACAATAATTTCTTTCTTTAGGTTTTCTTCAGAGGCTTCCATGAAACCTTTCTATACAAATTTGTGGTCTCATTTTTTTCTCTTTCATTGAATTGACTGAACAATGTATTTGCTGGTGCAGCATTCACCAAAGATGAAGACTCTTTTGCTTTATTAGACTTGACAGTGTTTAAACAATACTAATTCTCATACCCAGCTGGCTTTTCAACTGATTTCTGTGCTCTCTATTGCTGTGTAAAACAAGCTGGAACATTAATGGCATCTTGCATGCTACCCTCTGGAGACCTACTTTTCTTTAGAGAAAAATCAAATAAATGTGAAAGTTTCTGCGTTTTCTCCTTATAATTTTTTCCTTTTTTTTTTTTTCAAATGATACTTTAGTGTACTGTCAGATTTTGTATGTGTTACAATACTAATTTTCCAGCACATAATTTTAAAAAGTAGTCTTCATTTTATAGATAGATTTACTGATTTGCTCATTTTTAATAGAAAGAGATGCCTTTATCTAAGTCAGAATATACCAGCTTTAAAAACATGTTCAAGATGCACATGAATGTGCTATTTTAGCTAAAATTTTGTGTATTGAAAATGTGTTTGCCAAACAGCCAACAAACATTAGCAGATGTTAATCATTTGTTCAGCCTCTCACTTTTAACAGTATTTAGTGTTCTTCATGAAAGAGAGAGACATAAAAAACCCATTTTTCTAGCCTATAAATATAAATATTTAAGTCATACATTTAGACAAGCCCAAGCCTTAAAATGTTTGCTCCTGAAGGATGAATTTTGTCTGTTTAGAACAACCATCTGTGATGGGCTGAGGTGACCATTGTAGCACAAATTTCTCCTTCCAGTCCTTCAGAGGCTGCTTAATTTCATATAAAATTCAGTTAATTGTGAAATAGAAACTTTCTGAAACCCAAGCTTGATTCTTGTCCCCTGCACCTCCCCAAATTCTCAGTTAGCCCTGCAGCAGGGGTAAGGATTTGGGGTGCTCACTTGTCCTGGTAAAATGGTCTGTCGTAAGGGACTGGCCAAAGCTGCGGGGTGGGATTTGATATTTAACTAAAAGGAATCAATGCTTTCTGAAGAAAATTTCTAACCTTCTTGGCTGTAATATCTCCTACAACTTTTTGCAGAGAAGCCAGGTGGCCCTGTACAAAATGTGTGCCAGTATCTGTGTCCCACAGTGCCATGACACTCCGTGCATGCACAGTCACTTGGAGGCCTTGTAGGGAATATTTTCTAAATAAAGAATGTTTTGATATCACAGTATTCCATTTAAGCAATTTTTCCCCCTAATTTTCTACAGCTGGTCTAAAACCCCAGAAGAATGGAAGTTTCAGAAGACAAGACAGACGTGGCTCCTCCTGCACATGTATGATAAAGAGAAGGTTTGTATTCATGCTGCTTTTTCTCAGAACAAATATGATACAGTCTTATACATTAGTTATAGTTATTCTTTATTAACCAAAACTTCCTAATACTGCATGCATTTGTCTCATAATTCTTAATTACTTACAAATTACTTTGTTTTTAACCAAGATGCTGAAGCATTTTAATTGCTTGTCATTGATCTTTTTATTTTGTAGGTGGTCATTGTCCTGTGCATGCTAGATTTTTATACCTGATGTATAGCAAGCATAGAGAGAGCAGATTAATGATTTAGTTAAATCTGGAGTTTGCTGAGAATTTGAGTCATATCCTTAATTTGAATTTCCTAATATGGAACCCAATACTGCAAACCACAGTTCTCATATTGTTTCAGATATCTCTGGGCTCCATGGAAGATGTACAACCATATTGCCAAGATGTTAAAATAGCTCTCTCATTTAAATATAAGTGAAACCTGATGTTGGTTGTGAAAAGCTTAAAGTATAACCAGAAACCAGGCTTGAATCCATACAGAAATCCTTTCATTTCATAACTTAAAAAACAACATAAATTTGAATTTCCAATAAGCATCTGACCATCGTGGTATCAAATGAGGGTGTCAGGTCATTCATTTTGTTGTGCAATAGAACAAACCTCTGCCCATTTGCACAGTGCCTCACTTATTGGTTCATTTTGTTGACACTCAGTTAAGTTTTGCTGATTTTCTGTGTGCACTTGAACATTTACTCATACCAATCGTCCTGACCCAAATTAGTCAGCAGCTCTAAAGCCAATCACCTGACATTGGGTGTTACCTTTTTAGACAGCCAGATAATTAACAGCAGAGTTTCATGAGGGCAAAAATGTTCACATGGTGAAAATACTTTAAAAAGATTGGTTGCAGAATACAAATTTGATTTTGGATTCTGGATTGTTTGCTCTATCTTCTGTTTTCTAAGTTTCTCTCTTTAAAGTCTTTATCAACCTTTCAAAATCAGTGTATACTCTTCAAAGCTACCTAGAAATTGGCAGGCAGAAGGATGTTTTTACTTTTTTTACCTGTTTACTTTGGGGTTTGTGTTAAAATATGCTGGGACACAATGAACTGTGAGTAGCATTTGTTTTATGTATCAAAACACAGTTTAACTCCTTATTTCTCAACACTGAAATGAAACTTCCTTTTTCTTAAAATTCTGATGGAAGTGCTCTGATTTATTTAAATTCACATATTTTGTAGTTTAATAATCAGAGGAGCATTGAATATGAGCTTTAGGGAATGATTAACATCTGCATCCAGATCCAGTGAAGTTAGTAGAACTGCTCAAGTGCTTATAATTAAGCATATGATGAAGTCTCTTTCTTCATCAGGACCATAGGGAGGGCACACTCATCTTCTTTTGAATATTTTTTATACCCAAATTCAACTTCCTGTCCATTACAGAATGAAATCTGTTGGTAATCCAAGCATGACTAACATACAAAAGGAGACAGAAGTTTCTTTCCTTCCTAAGCCACATCTTTGATCTCATGGTGTCACTTGGATGCCTACTGAAGAGCCATGCAAAGGCCTGAATCGAGTTTCCTGTACTGATAGGCCTCTTTCTGAGGTTTTTAAATTGTTTGCTAGATAAATGGTGTTTTAAGCTCCTTTAAAATCCATCTGGTGGCTGGCTGACAGCTTCCAAGCCAGGCCTGTGTACCTATGGTGTGCATATTTCTGCAGCACCCAGGAATAAATAAACACTAGGTTATTTGTTGGTCTTTATCATCTGGCACAGCATTTTTTGGAAGTTACTAGATCAGTCTTCAGCTTCTGGATTTCAGGGCGTGGTGATGTGGCTGAAGTTTCATTGGAAGGTGACCCAAAATGCAGTCTGGCAGCAATGAGCTGAGCTTCTCTCTGCTGGTTTTTGCTTTGCAAAATACATGGGTGTCTGCAGGTCTCCAGGTCTGAAAATACAGAGTTGCAGAGGATAATTTAAAAGTGAGAACTGTTCTTTTCCTGGTACTCTTTCCTAGTGTTTCCCTCCTTTTCCCAAAGACAGGAATTATTTCACTTGGGATTATTTCCATATTAATCAGCTCCAGTGTATATTAGGAAGTTAAGACAGAGGCAAAATTGGTGTGTGAGAGAGAAAAAGAAACAAGAAAAAGGTCAAAACAGTTTAACAAAAGAATAATAACAAAATCCCATAAGCCTGGCTTTGACTTCCAGAGCCGTGCTGGGAGATCTTGATCTCCAATTTCAAACCAGCCTTGAACTGACCTTGGAAGAAGGATTGTGTTCCTCCTTGGAAAACCTCACCAAGACCTCTGAAATTACTGCTTTTGTACTACTGTATTTGAAGAATTAAAATTTGGATTTCATTAACTTTCTTTGTGCGTTCCAGTCCTTGCTATGGCTCTGCTGTCTGTGTAAGTCAGGAGGAAATATGATCTTACCTTGCCCACAGGGTGCTGTGTTGTGAGCTCCTGATGAAGTAAACCTCAGAGCTGTGTTATGTTAAAGGAAAAAAATCAGACTTTTTGAACACTTGAACACCCTTAGGGCCAAATGCTTCAGGCAGCCTCGTGTTAAGTCTGCACACTTAGGATTTCTAAATTTAGAGCAGGCTTTCAATTGCCCCCTCAAGCAGTTTGCTTAAATGATATAATAATAACTGTACTTGCACGGGTATGTCTGTGCCATGAGCTCTGAGAACAAGAGTTGTAGATTATAGAGATAATTTGGCTAAGGTTTGAAACATGGAAATGTTGCTGACTTTGAAAGGTCAGTACTGAGTATCTACAGTAAAGGAACACTGTCACACTGGAATTGTTTGTGTCCAAATGGGTTCATCTATTATTAGTGCCAGCTTCTTATGAGTGAAAACTTACAAAAATATAGATATTTTTCATTGTGTTTGATTTGTATAGTATAGCAACGCTTCATATATCATCCATTTCAGTGTTAGTCATTGTAAAATTAATATTTCTTTTGTAACTGCATTGTTTCTTTAATGCAAGAGTGTTTGTGTGAAGAATTAGAAGGTTTTCCATAGTGTACAAGTTACGAGGCTGAACGCAGGCTTAAGTTTTGATTTATTACTTTGTAATACCCCTGATTGATGAAGGCAGTGTTGGAATATTCTTTCTTCCTCTTCTTTTGGAGTGATAGAAGTTTTAGTGATCAAAGTTCGGCTGCCAAATGTCCATGGAGAAATAAGTTGTAAATTAAGTGTCTGTTGAAGCTCTGTCTGCTCTGAAATGTTGATACTTTGCAGAATCGAAACCGCCCTCGAATAATTAGTCTCGAATCCTTTAAATACTTACGTATGTGTTTAACTTAACTCATGTCAAGTTATATGTGTAAAGTTAAACATGGAGAAACATATTTGCAGGGTGAGATCATTTTAACATCTCATGATTCACAGCAAAAAATATCCTGTTATTGGCTGAAACCTGCTCCACAGATACACAACATGAAGTTAAGATCAGCGTAGCTCTGTGCACATATTCCTTTTGAAAGTACTTCAGTATGAAGTACTGCATAAATCCTTCCAAAGTCCTTGCTAAGTTATTGTCAAGATTAATATAATGATCATTTAAATTGCATGTTATACCAGATAAGCTAAAACTTAATCTCTGACTAGTTAATTAGAAAGGGAGTGAAACGTGGATAATGCAACTGTAGATGACTAAAGTGCTTTTAATGTTAGACATGTTGGTAGAGCCTATCAGTTTTAGTCAGCATGATTTAAAAATTATTTCCATATGTCTGAATTTGAGTTTGTTTTTCAAATTAAATTCGAGTCCTTTATGTAAGCATTCTGTCAAATTGTGCAGTGGTGGGTGGTATCTCATGTTAGGAATCAATTTTTGGGTAAGGGCGAGGGGAATTCCAGCAAAATTCTTCCCTCAGACATATGCATACAATTCTCACTGAAATTAGCAAGATTTACATGTGTGTTTCCAAAAGGAGGGTTTGGCTAACATGTTCTGTTTTTTTCTTCCACCAACCCTCAGAGCCTTGGGCTCCCTGTCAGGCAGTGTTTGCTTTTGCTGATCAGCGCTTCCACATCTGCTGAGCATTTCCTCTCAGATGCTTTGCCCATCCGAGCACATGACACTCCTCTCACCAGGCTCCATCCATCCCTCCTGGCAGCTTGAACCTTGGAAGAGGAAACATTTCCACTTGGATTTCCATTTGCAGTTGGACTTTGGCAAACACCAAAGCCTGTGCCATTCTCCTAATTGTCTTTCAGGTGGTGCTGTGACGTGATTGTGAATACATATTGAGAGGGGAGATAATAAACCTGTTTTTCCGTCCTTCTGTTTTTTCTTTCAAGGTTCCAGACAAGTATTTCACCATTTTACTGGATTATCTACAAGGGCTTAAGGGCAATGCACGAGACAAAACTGTGCAGAAAGCTGAAGCTTTTATGAAGGAATTTGATGGTTCTGATGGAGAAGACCCAAACCTGCTGGGGAAGTGCGAGCGCATCAGACAAGTTCTACAACTGCTGTCCTGAGAATATTTCTGTGTCATAATTGTTGTCTGGTGGAGGGAAGGAGAGATTTCACACACTGAGGCTGTAAAGGATTTGTAAAGATAATACTAAATTTTATACTCGTAATTTTTCCATTGGAAAATATTTATCGTGTTTTGAGGTGATGAAATAAAAATAACATATATAGCCCATAGTCTTGTTATTAATCTTATTGCACCTCTTATTGGAAGAATAAACCTCTCCCTCTCATTAATTTTTCTCCATCTCCCCCTCTAATTATTGTTAAATATGAGGAACATACTTCTCTCCCTCTCATTAATTTTTCTCCATCTCCCCCTCTAATTAATGAGGAACATTGCAGCTCTTAATAAGAAGTGCAAAGGAACCAACATAAAGCCTGGAGGGTCTTTTACAATGGCAGCTTTTAAAATGAGTGTACTGTACAGTGCGTGCTCAGCCAGCTGTAATCTCTCACTTTCAGCTTCAGAAGGATGTCACTTGGATTTGGGAGAGATCATTTTCAGTCTGCTGAACACAGGTTGTATAACACAGTTGCTTATTAGTACTTCACACGGTGATCTGGAGATACCACCAGCTTTGTTGGCTTTCTTTTTACATTTTAAAGTTTTCAAATGCATTAGGGCAATTGTTTAGATATTCTGATAATGCACAACTAGGAACAGATCAAATCCTTTACTACATGTTGTGAAATTATCAAATTGTAGCTAAACTTAGCCTACAATCAAAAGTGCTGTGCTGTATCCAACCTGCCAATATTGCATTTTTCTCTTCCTCCTGCAACTGGCATCCAGAAGAGTTAATTCATGTTCATTCCTTTTGGCTTGGGACATTTGCCTCTTATGAACATGCTGAAAGTGAGGCTTTCAAGTAAAAACCAAGGACATTAATTACTCAAAGTTGGATGATTGGCTTATTTAATAACACTGGTATTCAGACAGAGTTCTTGACCTGATTCTTTAATGTTTCTGCAAACATTGTTCATACTTTATTAATAACAACTATATGAAATGTGTGGTGGTGTAGAAGAGTGGCTGTCTTTGGGAATTACAGCTTTAATTTGGGTGGGTGAAGGAGGGGAGGATCTGTGGATATGCAGGCCTGATTTTCCAATAAGAAGCATTTGAGTGGATTTGACAGCCTTCATCGTCATGACTTAGTACAAATCTTTGGAAGTATGAAAGGTATTACTAATAATAAATAACTTATGATTTCTGACTTACTGAGGAGGATGTTTTCAGCCAAAAAAGACTAGAAACCAGCATGCTCTCCTCTAAAAGAATAACTGGGATGGAGTTTGGCACAAGAATGGACAGAATTGAGCAGCAGTGTCCAGGTTCTTCACTGAGCTGCTGACAGTGCCTTGGGGCACAGCTGGGTGAGGGTGCAGAGGAGACAGAGCCAAAGCTTTTCTGAGCTGTATAGCACTGATCTTCCAGTGAGAAACCTGGTGAAAAGGATCTGTAATAAAAAGAAGTGATCTGACATTCAGTGAACTCATAAAGATCATTTGGGTCATATATTTTACATGTGAGAATATGCAGCTGTGAAAAGCTGCTGTCACTCCAAGCAGAAGCTGATACTTGTTTCTTTCCATGAGGGAAAATAGGAATTTCTTAGGGATGAAGTTTTCAAAGTATCTTTTTGTGAGTTTATCATTGCGTGTTAGATGTCAGAGAAGAATTTTTTGTTCTCCCTCAAGACATTTGAACATCATCACTTTTGATTTTTCTGTCACACAAAAATGTGAGTCCTCATTGTGCACTTAACGTAACTCCTAGCTTAAAAGCACAAGCACATTGCAACTGCTCTTTGGAAAAGAATTGTAAAAAAGATGATGAAGGTAAGATCTGGGCAAAAATATTGGAACCTTTTATGATTTTGACATATTTGGCAAGATTTGCCTTTCTTGGACCTTAGTTCTGACCATGTGTAAATGCTGACAAATCTGTAAGAAGAGAAGCTGTGTAGATCAAGAATGTCAGGTTTCATTTTATATCAATTAATATTAAAAGCACACAAGGCCTGTCAGTCTGGAGGCCATGTGAACAGTACTATTTGCAAAAAAAAAAAATTGGAGCCTCTCTCCAGCACGTAATAGACCCCTGGGAGTAGGTCCTGCTCTGCTCTCCTCTTCCTCAGCTGCAGTTCCAGCTTTCCCTTCAGTCCCACTGATTGCTGGAGGAAGGTCATGGTCCTGGGGCTCTGCTTCTTGCAGTTATGGAAAATTCAGAAGCTGCAGTTGAAGGTAATTGTTGCTTTGGTTGTGTTTGGCAGAGAAAGCAAAGCATGGTGCTTCCTGCCACGTGCCTTTTGCTGTAGGTACTGCCCAATGTTCAAAGGGGTCTTGAAATTGGGTAAAAGATTTGTAAAACTGCTGCTTGTGGTGCTTTGTCTTGCATATCAGAGCTCAACATGAAATATTCTAAGGGTTGTCTAATACCAGTGCAAATAGAAAAGGACACTTTAATTGCATTTCATTTTTTTACTTTGCACCTTTCTTCAAGAATCTTGACATTTTTTTTGGCAAACATGTCATCCTCACAACAGCCAGGAAATGCAAGAGGACTCATTTTTTGGAGATCTGTATTGCTAGGCCTGTTTAAAAGACAACATTGTGAAGACCCATAGAGCTTATCCCACAAACAGCAAATGCTGTGGTGCCTCTGGCAAGCAAATCTTGCCTTGGCCATGTGCTATCCACCACTCCAGCCTCTGCTTCCTGCTCCCTGGCATTTTCATCCCTGGATTTACATTATGTGATGAGTAAATCTAGAAAAATCTCCTCCATTGTGCATTTTAAATTATTTATCTTAAATTATTAAGTGTGCAGTCAGTTGCTGAATTCCTGGAGCTGGTTGGAGCTGTGTGGGGAGATGTCATCTGGCACTTTATTCCCTTGTTGTCACTTGGTCATGTACAGTTTTCAAATCTCAGCGTTGCTTGTATCTTAGGCAATCACATGGGCACAGATAGGACAAAATTGTGTCTTTGCCTCTGTTTGAATCTGTCTGCTGTGTTAATAAAAATGGCATCCCAGGCTAGAAGTAGCAGTGCATACAGAATGACAAATTACATCTTCATCTGCCTGCACTAATCTCCTTCTAGTCGAGTTAATCTGCATTGTGTAGCTCTGGCTAGCAGAATGCATGTCCTAAGAGAACGCTGAAGTCAGGACTTCCAGGCAAAATAAAGGAACACTAATTACTTAGAATTGCTTAAAGCTGGAACTGTGCCTCTAATGGAAGTACTAATTACTCAAAATTTGACATGGAAGAATTTCCCTTTAATTTGGCTGATCCTTGCTATGGGTAGTTTATCTATTTGGTTCTCCACTGTCTGCCCATAATTTTAATTTGTTATCACCATTGTAAAATTACTGTGTAAATGAATTGTGTTTGTATTTGGAATGGGCATCTTGGACTTGTTGAATGTGTAGTTTATTTCCTTATTTCCTGTCACTGGAAAATTGTTCTGCTGTGTTTCTCTTCATTTTAAAGCAAGGTGACTGTTGACTCATCTGCCATTATTTCAAATAGCTTAGAAATGCACATCTTTGGTTTGAGCTTGGAGGTTTTGGTTTTGTTTTGTGGGTTCTTCTAAATTTTGCCATTGAGTAAGACAAAGTAAAAAACCATCAAATTCTACTCCCATTTCTGCAAATCAGTGTCAAAACCAACAATTGTAAAAGAGATTTAAGCTGCAAAATCAAGCACTCAGAAAATTAGAAAACATAAGAATGGAAATTGTCTATGTAATTTAAATTTTACTCCTTCATGCTTATGTGGTAGGATGGAACTTCTTAATTATGTCATCAGGGCTGTTTTCCTTTGTGTGCAACTGGTAACTTATTTATTCAGTGTTTTCCTTGCAGCTCTGCTGCTCTTCTCATTTTCAAAAGGTAGGCCTACAAAGCAGTCCCAAAGCCAGAGAAGTAACTTTGCAGTTGGGCTTTGATCCTGCACAGAAATAAGTAGGAACTTTCCTATTCCTTTGGTGTAGGAACTAGTCATAGATGTTTCATCACAAATGTTCCCTTTAAAACTTGTTTTAATGTTCTGATTCATTTACAGTCAAAATACCGAATTGATGTTACTTAATTTAAATCCGGTTTTGTTGACATAAAACTTTCCAGTGGCTTATTCTGGTTTAGCCTTTGGTTTCCTTTTATGTCTTCCTTTCTGTACAGCTGAATGAGCTTGTTATTTCTGTCCCTGCAAATAGGAATATTAGTTGTTTACAGTGATTCCAGTCATACAAGGACACAATTAAATGTCCTTGCCTGTGCAGGACGAGCTCATTTTCACAGTGATTTATAATTATGTTCTATTTTAAATTCTTCATAAGAACCTACATAGTCAACAACTTAAAGCGGTTTTAAATAATTATTATTTTAAAATAAGGGGTTTTTTCCCCTTCAAGGAGCATGGAATAGCAAACTAAATAAAACACATTAGTAAATATGGGGGGGGGGGGAAGGGCAAAGCAAAACAGTGGTTTATCTTTCTTTGTCAAAACAAAGCTGAATAAGAAGCTTGTGCTACTAAGAAACTGGTGTTGCAGACATAGAGGGAGGGAGGGCCCTCTGGGTACAAACAGAAGAACACTCATACAGTTGCTCTTACTGATTTTTTTCCTTACATGCAGAAAAATTTTGGCATTCCCCAACAAAACCCACAAGAACACCTACGTCAAAAAGTTAAATAGGTTTCAAAATCAAATCCTTAAAGGTCAAGAATGCCACATGTATATAAATGGCCAGAAGAATTAAAATTCTACCTCTCTGTGCCTCCAGCCTGGAGTCTGAATGAAGGGGGATTGTGTTAGAGGCAAACAAGCAAAAACCTCTAAATTATGTGAGCACATAGTTAAAATTGCCAGATACCCTTCTGTTCATAGGAAGGTGGAGCTACATTCCCTATTAGCTTTAGTGATTCAGATTGTTTAATGAATATTTTCTGCTAATTGAAATATCACATCTGTGACAACTTACATCTATTCTCCTCAAGGTCCCATGTGTATTTTATAAAATTGTGAGCCATGGGACACAGGATCTGTCACTCACTTGCTTACAAATAGCCAGACCAGCCGTGGCACTGTGAAAATCATCATTTGCTGTTGAGCTCCTTTGGACCCAAAGGATGTTTGGCACTGTATTGGTCTGGAGGTACAAGAGGCTTTGGCAGCATCCTTTGTACCAGCCAGGCTTGCTT